TAATAATTATCATAATTAAGGTATTGATCGTAAGATTCACTTAGGGAGCCTTGTCAGATGTAAGAATAAATTCACGAGGCTATGCTTACCTAAAACCTTTGGTTTGTATGTTTTCCTAAGCATGGAGTGTGTATGTTATTTGCGATATTTGTATTATTTGTAACATTTCAAGATTGCTGTGTGTTTGGCAGATCTCGCTTGTGTATTTGTGTAGCGTCGACGCCACCAGCCTGTGTTTATTCCACGAGAAAAAAAGTAAAAGAACAAGAAAAAATAAAGTAGACGGAGAAATTATTAAGCAAAATAATACAATAACGGAAATTAAGAAACGAGTGATGAGTAGAGAAAACAAAATTTGGAATCAAACACATTATTTAAATTATACAAAATGATAGATTAATATGAAATGCAATTAATTTTATAGCTAACGATAAAAATTTTAAATACGCAATCTAAGAAATAGCGAAGTAAAAAAATCTATTCTTCATATAGATTTTTTATTGCGGACTTAAAAACTGCGGACTGACCGAAGAAGATCGTTTTAAAAGAAGAATGGAGTAAAAAAAATGTGAAGTAAAAATGCATAATCTTTGAGCTCCCGGCAGGTAATGGTGTGAGGTCAAGATCTATTCACCAAGTGACTTTGAATGATCTAATGAAACCAATGCAAATTGTATGGACAGGAACGAACAAAAGTAAGTGACATGGGTTCCCGTGGCCGGGTTGTGAGAAAGAGATAGAGGAGCCAGGAGGCTCTATTACTGAAGAAACTACCAGGCAATGTTCAATATAAAGCGTAGCAGTGATACGGGAAGATGAATGAACTATTGATACTGTCAGGGATTTACTCATAAGTAAAACCGTAACAAATAATTTCCACGACAGGAAAATACAATATATCTTCATTGTATGAAAAGAAGATTGGAATAAAATAATAGGTGAAATTGATGAACTTGTTTACGAAACAGGTGTGCGTGAAACCGAAGCTAAAATCAGGAAATTTTTTTAATAAACCTATTGCATTATGCAGAAATACAAAACAAAACCTAATTCGTTCCAGTGGACCATGATTAACATGAGTGGAGCGCGTGCCAGTGACAAAGTTTCATTAGCTTATTTTCCTTCACCATAGTTAATTAAATCAGCTAGCGAACATCTATAGGACAATAAATAATGAGCATTAGTCACACTTAGTGTTATTGTTTGCTTGCGATATGCAAAGCTCGAAGAATGGAGAACTCCTGAAAAGTTTTATTAATAAATAGAGACATAAAATTTTTAACAAACTATAAACAATAAAGCAGACACTAAACACGAGACTAAACATTTCCGCTAAATTCATACTGAATTATTGCAATATCTTTTTTCGATTAAAAAATTTTGGGTTCGGGTATAGAATGAAAAAAAACATTATCAATGGACCAAATTTTCTCAAATCTTCAATTTGCCGCCGATCTAAACTAAGTTAGTTGGATTAAGAATTAATTAAAAAAACGTAATTTAAAAACCGTATATAATTCAACTATACAAAGTACTTTGCAACAAACGAATTTTTCATGAAATATAAGCAATTTGAAAGGATAACAATGAGCAGTTAAATCGCTCTCATTGTTAAAGAAACAAAATTTCCAGCTCGAAGAAAAAGAATTCCAGCTCGTTATTAACCTTTCCCGTGGCTCCCTAGATAAAGGACCACACCATTAACGAAAAAATAACAGAGGAAAAGTGTTTCCAAAGTAAACGACGTCTCTGGACCTTTTTTGGTCTGAATGGCAGAGGTGGAAAGAAGCTGTGATTTTAATTGGGCATCCGTTTAGGGCAAGACTGGCCAGGTCAGCCGTATTATAATAAGGCGACCTTGCGGTCAAATTGAGTCAACTGCAGTCCAGGAGAGCCGCCAAAATTGTAAACAAGCGACGTATGGAATTTAAGGTACACAAATTAAGAATTTATCAAAATTTAAGAACTTATTTAATTAGGAATTTATCAAAATTGACTTTCGCGAAACATCATTACATAATTTCAGAATATATCCGAAACAGAAGTAAACCTATATGCTAAGGTGAGAGCAGTTATCGGTGATTCATTGTTATTACAAGAGTGTTCCTGAACTAATACTGTTCTAAAAACCTAAAAAAATATATTGTGAAATAATATTTCAATCTACGCGCTCACGCAAGGGTATTTTCTCTAACATAAGAATTGTGACGATAGATTTCTTCCATGGCCGGCTTATAAAAAGAAGGTATATATATATATATAGCAGTGGAATTTAATGGGAGTAAAACTGAACTCGGATCAACAGCTCGACATTTCAAGGGTCATGATACTACAATAATTGCATAAATATTATAACGTTCTATTTATTTATTAAAAAATAAGAAACATGTGTATTATAAAATTTTTATGGAAAACTCCAACGAATTGTTGCTCACCAGGCTGCAAACTGCGGATACGAAATAAGAAAGAACGAAAATAAATCCCCCGATTTTCGCCTCTTTTCACTATATAAACATGGTTAGGATGAACTTTAAGCACCGCCAAAAACAAGTGGTCGGCCTACTAAATTTTAGGCGGACAGTTCTTCCATTTCATTTGCCAGCGCCTTAAAATTTAACCGCCACATCGACCTTTCTGTCTCAGGGCAGCTAACCTTTATGGCTTGGGGAATAAATGCAAGTCTCTTAACTATTCCTTACATCAAGTCAAATTGTTTTGAAAAGACCTACATGTAGCGATTATAAAGCTCTACATGAAGACAAAGTGCATTATACTAGTTTGCAAGTTAAAAATTTTGAGAAAAGCCCACATCGAATCGAAAAGCTTTATAAAGGAAGGCATGACTTGAATGAAACTTCTAATTTTTTTTGCTAGAAAGTTACGAAAAATGAAAAGCGCGATAGGTACGTTGTATCGTGCCAATACTATAATTATAATGTAATATTTCATTTACGTCATTCTTTCCACATTTCCATGCATCACAATAAGGGCGTGGTATACACCGAGCTATTTCCCGAAGACAATACTTCATAGTCGAGTTTAATTTAATGAAGTTGCGTTAAAAATAAGGGTCATCATTAAAATATATACTATACTTTGATTTAATTAGGTGTTGATAACGTACTCAGTAATATTTCAACAGTTATAATATTGAAAAAAGAACAGCCAGAAATTATTAGCGACTGGTATAAAAAATTAGATTTCAACTTTACCAAATCTAAAATCGAATGCTGGATCAACGGCTGATTGAAGGCCTTTGAGTGGCCACTCTCATCACGTCTATAACTTTTCATTGGAATTGGAGGGGCAAGAATAATTTATTTTTAGGTTAAAATACCCACGCAAGTCATGGCAGTCTATAGATATAAGAATAATAGAATGTACGGCTATGTTTTGAAAGACATGAAAAAGCTCTCATTTGCACCATGCCGATTGAGCCAAAGCTCTGTCTTTTTTTACTATGTAAATCTCATTTTTGTCGAGTTTTGCCCAGTGCAAATCTGCTGAGAATTGACAGATGACTTGCACTTTCGAGCCGCTAGCTAAATTTCTACGACTGATTAAAATTGACGAGCACGATTGAAGGATTTTTGTGGAGGCTATTGAATCCCGCTTCAAAGATTTGATCCAACATGAAGATAAATGAAGTCGAGTGACTATTAGATTCTATTAAGAGAAATGCTTCGTCGCATTCCCATCGATTTTAGTGACGCTGAAATATTCATAGCAATTTAAGAAGCCATGATGTCTAGAAAATATATATTCAACGTGTACATAATTAGGAAAATGTCACTACGACACATATTACACTCTTAATAACTGCTCCCATTTGACCTTCCAGACCCATAACCTTATATAGTAAGAAAATAGGGAAGTTTAATATATTTAACGCGGAGAAAAAAAAGAAAGCTTCTGAAATGAAGTTCGATTAAATAAGCGAGAGAAATGTCTTGATACTGATAACAGATAAGATTAAAAATAACTATCGCGCTATCGAGAGCTTGAGAAAACCGATTATTCAATGAAAATAATGAATAATGTGATTATGAGTAACGTTATTATGAAAAACGTGATTATGAATAACTGAATTCTTGGCTTGAAACAACATTTTCAGGACCACGATGAACTGAGGTATACAAATAAAGTTTTCAATAAATTGCTTAGGTTATTTCTTATCTAAATTATAAATAAATAAAAAATATATTTCAAAGCATGTTGCACGTTCTTCAGGAAACTGCCCGCTGAATCAAGTGTAAACGCAACAAATTTCCCAGGAAACAGTGCTAGAAAATGTGCACAGATTCTACAAATAATTAACATGCAGAACAAAATGCACCATGCAAGGCTGGATACTCACCATCCGACAACGTAAATTTTGTTACTTGGGTCAACATCAAAGCATTACTTCACTAATTAACTTTAAATTATTGTATTGTTAGAATTTCAACATCGTTTATCAGGCAAAAAGAAAGATGCAACTTAATGAGCATTGCAATTCACGACTAAATGAATACATAAGTACAATTAAAATTTCAGCCTGCAATTACAATGTACAATTGCAATTAATAAGTACAATTACAATTTTAGATTTTAATATTTTAAACACTCAAATTTAGTCAAAATGGACATTATTTTGGCTCAAAATTAAGAGAAAATAATGCCCTTTTCAAGTAAATTGACTATGTATTTTTAATTTAGAATTTCAATTCAATATTCCAAATATTGAATTAAATTCTAATTCAATATTCCAAATATTAAATTAATTTCTAATTCAATATTCCAAATATTGAATTAAATTCCAATTCAATATTCCAAATATTGAACTTAAATCCAATTCAATATTCCAAATATTGAATTCAATTCCAATTCAATATTCCAAATAATAAATTGGAATTCTATTTGATGCTTGTTAACAGCATGCAAACAATATTAACGTGCAGAAAGGGTTTATACGAGAAGCAATCAACGTTCAACGGCAACAAATAATGTGTAGTAAATACCATATCGGGCAGCTCTCGGCGTCTCTGAGGGAAAAGAAAAAAGTACATTTAGAAATAAAACAAAAATAAAATTTGGTGTGAACAGTTGATGGGAAATTGGAATAAGTGCAGTGACACAAACGTGAAACACCAACAATTTATCAACCCTGCGGCGCACGTGGATTTATAATTTAGATTAACCATGTTTATGTTAAAACTCGATATTAAAAATTATACTGTGGCAACCTCATTGCGAAATAATATAATATCCAGAAAATATTGTTCAGGATTTGTTTCTGTTCAAAAATCCCAGTCGGGATACTTATTGTACGCCAAGGAGATAAATTGAAAGCTAACAATTGTGGAACGAGGTTGTACAACAAATGGGTACAACGAGATTGTACAACAAATCAATGGAATAAATTTTATTTAAATGATTACTCAGCACTGACAACTATTGGAACTAGGAAGTGTAATACTTGAAATTAAAAGGCATTTTAAATTTGATTTTAATACACAGTATTTAAATGATGCAGTATGAATTTTCGATGTAAAATTGTATACAATAAATCTGTGTTGTACGAGCCAAATTACTATACTGTACCAATGATTAATAACCACAAAACTAACAAGAATCGCGACCTTCAACCCGCCATTATCGTATATTTACAAGTGACTACAAAATTTAAAGAGATTTCATTTTCTGATACGCTAATAAAAGGATACGCTCTTCCATCATAATGATTTTTTCATTATTGATTTATTTAATGATTTAACTCTTAATATTTGCCACGATTGATACCCTGATTAAGCAATGAAACTTGACCAGCAAATTCACTGCACACATATCGCTTTTTACGTCACAGACACGCACGATATACGATGATGAAGTTCCCGTTATTGTTCATGTATAATCATGACTAAAATAACTAAGAAAATATTAAAAACAAACGTGCGTTACACACTTCAGAACATTAAAGTGAGCAAATAGGAAACCCTGTGTTTCAGCTACAAAAAATTACGAAAATTACATTGAACAACACAAAGATGAAACTTACTCATTTTGAAAAAGAATGCTGTTGAGATTCATGCATTTAGAAGAAAATTACATCCAATTTTGTGTGGATTCCTGAAATAATGCATCAAATTAGAAAATGTAACAAATTGATATGATTGAAAAAAGCATATCTCGACTGTGTTGGAAATGAAAAATTTCTAATACTGAAAGATGGCATAGAGAATATAAATTAACAAAAATAATAAATCCAGTCAAACCAAGTCCCATGAGAAGCCATAGACTGATTTTCTGACTGAAAGCCATTGACTGATAGACTGTCCATAGACTGATAGACTGTGTTTTTTCTTGAACGTTCATCGGTGCGAGACCGTGTGCGATAAAAAGAATTTCGAAGAGTAAGGACTATATGTAAGTAAATTCGATATGCTTAATAGAAAGATTAAGAATATTTCGTTGCCACGAGGCTGGATATAATAAATCGATATAAGCTTTAGCAAGCCCTTTGGTTCTAAATTCGGTATTTCAGTATATTTGAGAAGTTTATCGTGAATTATTCATTGTTAAATATGGTTCTCTATTAATTAATAACAGCGTGAATAACGATTCCGCACTAGGTAATTATTATTTCAGCTGACGATAACAGTAGCATTGAAAAAGATGATCACAGCCACGATAAGCTAGCAAGAGTAATAATTTTAGCAGCGTAATAAACGATATCAGCATCGACCTGATATCCTCAACTATGAATTCAACACAATGCGCAACAAAAACGGATGTGTCTAGAAAAAACTACATGTGTCTAGTGTATTTCATCCTTTAGAATTCTGATAAAATGAAAATCCCTAGTGAAAAAATTAATAGTGAGCGAAACGACCACGTGTAAATATCCACTTGAATGCCATTCACTTATTTATTGTAATCGAAGAAGCTTAAGATTAACGATAACGATTGCAAACAATCGGAAACACTAACATAATTTGAATATTTCATTGCATCTGTGCCATTTTTGTAGAATGGAATACATCTGCGTGATATGATCATTACTTATTCGTCGAAGACTTGAAACTGCCAGGTGAAGAAAATTCATATAAGTTTACAAATGCTAGAAAACTATTTTCTTTTGATTCGCGTGGGTTCGAGATATGTGTTAAAAGTTTGATGTGGAACCCGATAAAAACCATTACAAAGTCCCGATGCGCTGCTCAGTACCGCGATGCTAAGTATGCACACGCACCTATTAGTAGTAATTTAGTACTTAGTATTCGTAATAATTTAGTACTTAGTGTACAAGCTACGCGGAAGCTACGATCTTGGTGACATACTTCATTTTTCCTTAAATCAAAATTGAATTCAATTTTTGAAGTTGATAGCTTCTTCTGATTAACCAATAGGAATGAACAATTTTTTCATAAATTCAGACGCTTCAAGTAAAACAACTCCTGTAAGAAACCAAGCATAAAAAAATTTTAAACTACAACTATTATAACTTTAACATCTGCAAAACAGAACAATTCAGTATTTAGAGGAGAATCTTATCAAATTATCGGAAAGCCAGCAACAATGACTGGGATTATCACGGCCGATAAGCCACCCCGGTAACGAAAGATAAAACGTTTTGTTATCAGATGACCTAGCGCAGGACAATAGCAGCAATTATTTATAAAATCGCTTATCTGTGAAAGATATAAAGAACATAAAAAGAGAAAGATATACAAGAACATTTTTATTACAACAACAAAAATTCCGATACTCATGTGTAATTGCGGTGAGTGAACATAATTTTAAATCGAAGAGGCTAACATTAATATGAATCATATAAGAAATTAGTTTTCTAATTCAAGACTAGCAGTTTGCATTCCAAGAAATTAAAGGTCAGCAATGCAATTGTAACATTTGAATGCATTTACGGTTATAGACTAATCTTATCCTGCTAGAATAAAGCAATTTAAGAATATAATCAACAAAATCTTAAAGGCTTTATTCAGATCGTTTACAATGCAATGTAAATGGCTTACAATTGTTAAAGAATATGAATTAGTAGAGGGAGATTTACCCAAGGCTAGAATTAGAAAAATTATTCTATAATCTAAACTGGATAAAATAGTAGGTACAAAATGGAATAAAGCACGACATTTTATTAGAGTGGAAACTGACCAAAATAATTTCCAAAGATTAATAATGAGAACCGAAACGCTGTTGATAACATAAAAAATTAGGTTTAAAGGATAATGTATGAAATAAATTGTATCGAATAAGAAACGTTATGCGTTCAACATTACGTCATGTGCTTACATAATAAAAATTATTCATCTATAAAATGCAACTTACCGGTACTACGGAATAATTCAGTAATAATTCAGTAAAGATTAATTCAAGTCATAAGTGAGCACTTGCATTTTAATAGAGTTAAATACAGAATAATAATAATAATAATGACAATACAATGGGAAATTTTTTACGAATCAAAAATGTACCATAAAATGTGTTGTCATTAAAATAGGAGGTCGCTTAATTAATTAATAGAAATCCATCGTATAAAAATGTATTTCTTTGATGTCTTAATCAAATTTCGGTAATTAAAATTAGAAGAAGAAATTTTAAAGACAAAACCATAATTTAAAAACTGATTTTGTAATTAGTCTTTTAAAATAAGTCTTGTTTAGAATGTGACACCGCGTCACAAGTGTCCTAATATTTGCCGGCATTAGCATTTACGAGTTAACATTTTAATGCAACATTTCTATTTATAATAAGATCATTCTTTCATAACGATTATGTATACATGTAAGAAGTTTCAATGGTTTTTATTATATAGTGATAAATTGATCACAGGCGGAAGCATAAAATGGAAAGAAGTTGAACGTAAAAATAAATGCCATTTGGAATTAATGTTCATGATGGTTAATAAAATCTTTTTGAAGTTAAAATACGAATATTTTCACGAGCACAAAACTACGTTCAGAGTCGCATTCATTATATACGAAGGGGAAATAATTATTTAAAATATAATATTCCTGGCGCGTCCTGCGCGCTGCGTTTACTGCAATATATTCCTTTAATAATAATAAAAAGTCCCGGAATAAATGTCATAAAAATAAAATTTATAGCTGCGACTTAACTTTTGAGATGAGTTTCCCTCATAGATCACATTTATAAATCAAGCGATATGCATCGAAATGTGCCATGGAAAATATAATTGAAAAGCTCCACTCCTAATGCTATTCGTACGTGTTCCGGCAACGTTCAGTCACAATGCCGGTCGGATTTGAGACTGAGAAATAATCGGATTTTTTGCATGGTACATTACAATGCATGAAATAACATTATAAACGTCTTCACATGGCATCTAATATTAACAGCCGTACGAATAATACATCACACAAAAGATGAGTCACAGCTAGCTGCGGACGCAACAAGATTCTTCAAGTTATATAATATTGCAGCAATAAATACATTAAGATTAGATCTAAAATATTACCCAGGCTCTGAATCAAATATTGCAAAGAAGATAGCAGTTTTCTACAAGGATTTGATGCACTAGAGAGTAACTGCGTGAAATATTTAATGATTTTATTTAAATATGAAGGGAGTGGAGATCGCCCCTTGAATTATATAGAACTTATCGAAGTGCCTGCCTGGAATGGTTGAAGTCAACGTTTCCAGGAAAATATGCTTTTATTGAGAAAGTTTTAAAATAGCATAAAATATGCATAAAAATACAAGATTTAGGCAGCTCGTTATCTTTTTTCAGCACATTCACGACATCGGTTTAACGGTTTAACAACTGTTTAACGGTTAAACTTCAAAACGGTTTAACGCTTCAACTTCAAAACGGTTTAACGGTTTAACTTCAAAACGGTTTAACGGTTTAATTAAAAAAAATTATTCAGTGCCAGGGAATAGATAAAACTTCTTCAGAATATTAATTCGTTTAATTATTATTTCGTGACTTATATTATAAGTAATTGAATTTACGGCAGCCACCTTCATGATTATGATGACCCAATTGGGTTCAACGATGCGACAT